CCGACCACTTGGGGCGGCAGTACGAGGGAAAAACGGAGTTTGCGGAACGATATCTTGGTAATCTTGGGGTTTCAGCTTCTTGGGATTTCGTTGGGGGCGGTTGGCAGATCGCGGCTCTGCGTTTGGGCTTCTCTGGGCTCTCCCGGCCCCCACCTATATGATTCCATGCAACATTCAGAGATCCTTTCAGCTTGGATGCTCCAGCCTCTCCCCGAACGAACCTGTGCGATCGGGACGCCGCGAGCATTCAGCTTTGGGCGATCCGTTGGGTGCCAGAGACCAGCGCGCAGGTCTCCACGGCGCGAACCTGCCGTGGGGAGGAGGAGGAGGAGGAGGAGGAGGAGGAGGAGGAGGAGGAGGAGGAGGAGGAGGAGGAGGAGGAGGAGGCGACGAGACGAGACGAGACCAATGACGATGTCAAAGCAGAGAGCGGGGGCGGGGTGCGGCGGCGGTCCTGGGCGTCGAACTCGATGAGCGGCCGCGCGGCGCGCGACCGCGCGCACACGCTCGCCGCTCCGTCCGACCGAACCGCACACACACACTCACCCACTTAGGGGCCCCGCAGAGCCCCAATTAGTATATCATGAGAGACCTCTAGCTACTCGCTCAGCCTTGCTGAGCACCTTAGGCCAGAGGCCCCTAGAAATCCTGTCAAGGTATTCCCTCTTGGACTTAGTGAGAGGGGTCGGTGGAACTCTACGGGCAGGACAAAGATCCGCCAGGCCACGAATCTGTAAGTGGCCATAACTTCCACACGCTTTACAAAACCACATATCGAGACCATTATGATATAACATAATATGGGAACCGTGGACCACACCCCCAGCGAGTTGTACATCCCGACCCAGAGGCAACTTGTATAAGACACTCGATACAGGGAAAAGATCGAAGCACTCTGAGGCCAGCCCAAGTGCTCGACCAGCTTCTGTGGTGGAGCTCTGACAGCGGGAACATCTTTTTCCACACTCACGGACCGAATGGCTGGACTGGAAAAGAGCCACAGACACAGGAGGCGGAGGGGCGGGGGCAACGGCAGGAGCAGCAGAGCGCCTGATTTGTTTCCCACCAACCTTACACGACTCCAACGTGGCCCTTAGGAGCCGCTCCCGAATGAGACGCACCTCGCCTTCGATCCGATACACACGAGCTCTTTGCTCAGCTGGGACGCTGAAGAGACGGGCAGCCGTCCCAGCAAGAGCATCCACAAAGACATTACCTGCGATTAGGTGGCCAGGGAGGTGCCTGTCCACCACTTCGGCGGCCTCAACATGCGAAGGCACTTTGAGGACACAGATGTCGCCTACTTGTCGACCCGACATACGAATGGCAACGCCCAGCCTCCGCCAGAGGTCCGCATTGGGCCCCTGCGGGGCCTCAAAACACCTACACCAGAAGCCTCGGGAGACCTCGTCGTTATCCGTAATGTACGCTATGGGACCTCTAGAGTGTTCCACGGCAACCACAAAGCAGAGAAGCTCCCCCCTAGGGACCGTCTGGTGACGCCCAGGGAGGGGTCCATGCACAAAACGCTGAGCGAGAGGGGCGGCGGTGGGCGCCGTGGCGACAACCACTCCTACACGCCAAAGCCTGGGATAGTGGGTATCTGCCCCTCCAGACGCATCCCCCCATATCAAAAGAGGTAGGTCTGGGGTGCCGACCCCAAAAAATACATCACCAAATTCTTCGTGATCATGACTACTAATCCAAACTTCATCGACAGGTGGCGCGTCGACCTCAAGCATCTGAGACGGGATGAGGCCACGCAACCAATAACACTCCAGACTCTCAAACTCATTCAAAGCACGAGGGGTGAGAGCATCGGAGGCACTGAAAGCTGGACTGCCCTTGTTGCAGTCACACATCCAAAACCTGTGAACTGGGGTCTCAGGGCCCCCTCCACGTCTGCTGCACTCGCTCGGGATGTCGTAACCGAGTGCGCTTTTCCTAGCGGCGGGCCAAGCCTCCGACCGCTATGCATAACATACATTCAGAAAGCTTGCGGCCACAACCCGGCAGCTGCTCGAGCTGAAACAAGTACTTTCGCAACGAAAAATAGTCACCACCATGCTCCATGCCATTGCCGCAGAAACCCTCGGCTGCAGCTCGACACTGCTGCAACTTGAGGGTGTCCACGAAATGCTCAATGAGCTCACTTGCTTGATTCAAAGCTTCGAACGACTCTGATCCGAAGCTCCATCCATGCTGCATGCCGTCGGCGCCGACGGGGGGGTACCACTCCGTGACCGATCTGATGTCCCACTTGCACCCCACCAGGTAGTGGACGAGAGCGGATATAGGTCCCCTGGCGTGCCGAGCTCGATGCTGCGCCTCCAAATCGAGGAACTGCTGGACCAAGCCTGGCCACACTTTACCCACCGCATGTCGCATCTGCGGTGCGTCCAGCCAGCACTTGAACCATTGCTCGATGCATTGGCGTGGGAGTGCGTACCCAGGGTCTGCCCCAGGCGCCCTCAGGTCCAACAGCGTCGTGAGACATCGCCCCCGCACGTGACCTGAGACACCGCCCAGCCTGCGCCTGAGCTGCTGCAGCGGCGACTGGGGCAGGCCTAACACCTGGTGGCCGTAGCGAGCACCAGCCTGTGGGCCTGCCAGCTCCACCTTCTTGAATATCCTGAACCTGCGTGACGATGACGCAAAGCGCCTGAGCGTGAGGTGCTGGCGCTTGGTGGTCTCCATGCGCTTCTGCCTCGTGGCTCGTCCGTGGCGCCTGCCACAGGACAAGTCGACGCCCAGGTACGCCATCTGCTTGGCACACTGCATCGTGATGCCACGCTTCTTCAAGGCCTTGACGATTGCACGGGCATCGGCCATCGATGAGCATGAGATCGAACTCTTGCTAGCCAACTCCAGCTTCTCGTCAGCCAGGAAATCGAATGTCGAAGTCACCCCTTCGATCAAGTCGCGCCGAACACTGAAGGGCGATCCCACCGCCGACTGCGATAGATCGTCAACCCACAAGCGTTCGGCTAACCTGGGGTGCATCACCGTGAGTCGCTCCATGACCGGGCCCGTGACGCATATCGCGAAACGAGTCCCGCTGCGCAGCCCCTGGATGATGCCCCTGGTGGGTTGGAAGGGCGAAGAGACCGCATCTCCCTGATCCAACATCCCATGGCTGGCGCACATCTGCAATTCTAGCCCCAGTATGACTGCTGGGAATCCATACCTGACGGCGCCCTTGACTAGGGTGTCCCATTCCATCAGATCGTAGAAGCTCTGAGTGTCCATGAGCGCGTGTCCGTTCGCCGTCTCCATGCGGGTGAAGAGCTCCTCGTTCAGTGCCTTCATGTACGCCTCTCGCAAGGCACTGTTGCCCTTCACCGCGGCGTCCCAGTCGGGCTGGGCCTCCGACGCCCACTGCCGAACCACTGGTTCACGAGCCATACTCCATATACGACACATCATACACATCAATCCTACAACACGGAACTGACCCTCAGCCTTCTTTGGCAGCAGTCTCCCGACCACCCCCATGAGCTGCCAGGGCCATGTCTGACATTCTTCGAACATATTGAACAGTACCGCTAACTCCGTCAATGCTTCGTCAGGTAGCCTCTCCAGATCCACTGGCGACAGGCGGCCCATGCCCATGCCAGCTTTAGCTTTCATCGACCTGACGGCGCGACGCACATCGTCTAGAGTCAAGGGCTCCAGCGGCTCCTCACGCGCACGACCTCGGATGATGGCGAATACATCCTCGACCTTCTCGCAATCCATGTGTGAGGATGTCCAAAGCTTGCGCCACTTGCCAGCCCGATGCTCCGCGACGTCGCGAGGATGCTGGATGGTGTCACCCTCCCGTGACTGAGGTCGAGCTGACTGGCTGCTCCTTAGATGCCTTGATCAACCCTCCAGTAAACTCATTCGCTGTGACCCATTGTTTGAAATCCGCTAACGATACCGACAACGCCCGTGACCTGGCCCTGCTCGCTACACGTGCCGCCTCCTTGGAGAACAGCTCGAGCTGGGCAGTGGGGATGGCCCCCATGTGTCGGGGCACATCGACCCATAGGTCCCAAGACGTTGCGTCCCTGTGTACTCTGACCATCTTCTGAACTCCGTCTGGGAAGCGGCCTGGTAACTTGACCGCGGCCTCGCACAGCGCGTCGATAGGTGCGTGGCCGTTGTTCCTCTGCCTGTGCTTGAAAGTCTTGCTGGCGACGACGGCGACCCCCTCTCCCACCAATTGGCGATCACGTCCTGGAAGGGCATGTCGCAGAAGTGGGTGGACTGCCTGACCTGGTGGGCCGTCATCGTCGGACCCCTCGCACGAGAAAGGCTGTGGTGCGAACCTTCAACTCCAGGCGTCGCCTCCGCAGCTGTGATCCAAGCCGCGAAGGCTCCGCTGACTGGGAGTACGTACTGACCGCCAACATGAAATGCCAACGACTGCTGGATGGGTTCCCACACGTCGTCAAGGGAGTGCATACGGAAGCCAGAATTAGCTCGAGCCAAAACCCAACGGACATCAGGAAAGGCAAACGCATCAGCATCGGGCACAGGGGGGCGGAACGGCGGGAGGGGTTCCACCATGCGAAGTGGAGTCTGGGAACGCCTCGCTTGAAATAGGTCGGCACTCGCTGGGAGGGGTCTCAACATAATCATTCGTAGAGGCTCTCGCTGTGGGAGGTACCCCCTTCGGAATCGTCGGAGCACCACCAAGGCGCGAGACGCCAGAACTAGGGGGGAGGCGACCGACCCGACCGACGGCGAGGAAGGGAGCGGGGGCGGACGGAGGTGCTCGCCGAAGTTGGGCTCTTCGGCCCACGGATCATCCTCGTCCTCATCTAGACCGCCGAATTGGCACCCAGCCCAACTCTCGGGATCCCCAGGGTCTTCAGCCTCTGGAAGCGAAACGCCCGAGAAACCTTGAGAGCCCTCGCCCTCGGCATCGCCACTGTCAGGCTGGGTTAACAAATCGCCGAAAAGGGAAGTGTAACGCTCAATCTGCTTTTCTTTAGAGAGAGCTTGCTGGACAGCCCTGTCTTTCCGAGCACGAGAGGACTTCGACCCCTCCGAGGCCTGCGTCTGAGGCCGTATGACTTGTGCAACACGCTCGGGCAAAACCAGGGACCTGGTGATAATCTGCCCACCTGATCCTCTCAACTGGAGCAAGAAAGCATAGTGCGGGCTCCACGGCACGTCTTCGATCGCACCCAGGCCCGCGATGTATGGAATCGCCGCAGCCGGGGCCACCGCAAAATCGATGTGCGTGGACCCGCTCGAACTGACACACGTGTATTGTATGGGGGCCTGCAACACTGATGCCCCTAGCCGAGACACAATTCCCCACCGTTCGAGCTCGCTCGGAGTCATGTTAAAATCCCCCAGAATGATCCAAGGAAGCTGGATCGCCTGTAGCAGAGCCCCTAGCCTAGCGAATCGCCCCAGGTTCGGACCAGAGAACTTTAAACCACATCTACTGTAAAACGTGACTATGCCAATGCTAAGCCCCTGGAGATGGACAACCATGGGCAAACATCCATCAATCGCTGACTGTCCTACCTCACTAAGTGCCCCTAGCTTGCCGTATGCTAATGGATGTGCCTGTCTGTGGCCCTCGGCAAGAAACATTTCGCCACTCTCGTTCGCTTTAGCCTGCACCGAATCCGTCAAACACTGTCTACCAGTCGGTCGGGCCCCGTTGGCATAGCACCTCAGGTTGGACGCTCCCGCCTTCTTGGTCCACTTAGCCACCTGTGAAGATGTAACGTGGGTCTCACATAACGCGAACAACTGGATGGACCGCGATTTGGCCAGCTCCGCGAGGTAGCTCCAAGACTTGTTGCCCATCATCGTGATATTGCTAAAGCATATCTGCACTATGTCATTCTGCGAACCGATGGAGGTGGCCTGGTCGGCTGACTTCGGCGCCACCGTTGTAGCCGACGACAAGGCCGAATATGAAGAAGGGGATGCAAGGGAACTCGGGCCACACGCCGACGCCTCAGTGGCCGCATCAGCCACCGCTGCGCACTGGGGCGCGGGCCCACCCTCGGACGGCGAAGGAGCGGTGGCGGCCTGGCGGGCGCCGCCCACGAGCTCAGCGCTCGATGAGCCCGCCGAGGCCGCCTGTGCTCACTACGAGCCGTCCTTGGTGGGCGAAGCCGCCCCAGCCGCTCCAGCCCCCGCGCCGCGCCCAGCCGCCTTGGCCGCCTGGGTCGCGGAAGCTGCCGCTGCCTTGGCCGCTGCCTCCTTCGCCTCGCGAAATCTCTGGATCTCCTGCTCGATCCTCGCGTCCGCCTCTGCACTGCCGTCAGCGCCACTGGCACCAGCGACAGGGGGCGTCGTCTCCTCGGCCACTCCCTCGGGCTTGGCTGCTGGCGCCTCCGCCTGCTCGCCGCCGCCCTCGTGCGTCTCGCCGTCGACCCCCCTGCGTTTCTTGGCCATGCGCTGGCGCACTGACTTCTGCATCTCGTCCATCTTGGTCTTCCACGCCTGGACCTGGTCTCCACGTTCTCCAATCGCGGACTTGGCCTGGATGAGCTCCTGCTCCAGGCGCAACAACTCGGCCTTCTCGGCCTCCTCGCACTCGCACTCGCCGCTGCGCAAGTCCTCGAAGAAACTCCCGTCCCAGGCAACGTCGAAGGCCTTGCCGCAGCTCGCCTTGTCGCTGGTGCCTGGCTGCGCGGGCTCTGCAACGCTCTCCGCCGTGAGCCCTCGAGCGCGCGCAGCAGGATGTCGGCCGCGGAGCTGGCGTTGCCGGTCGCCCGCAAGGCTAGGTCCTGGTCCTGGCCCTTGCCCTGTCCGCCTCCGCCGTAGCCCTTCTTGGCCTTGCCTCTGTGCAGCACGAGCTGAACTCCGCACCGACAATACCTGTCTCTCTGCAGCAACAACAACAACGAGTTCCATTCACTCGTGCCACAAACTCCACACTTGGCATACAAATCTGCCGAGCTCCTGCTGGGCGGCTGGCTGCCGTGATGTCGCAGCAGCCGAAGGACGTGTGCTTCTCGGCGCAGCACGTCACGGGCAGTGGCTCGCAGTCGCCTGGCACGCCGATGCCACGCGGGCGAGCGCGATCGCGGCTGCGCGCCCGTCGCGAGGCCGCCCCAAAATGGGGCTGGGAGCTGGGGTGTGCGGGCGGCCTCCGTGAAAAGGAAAAGGCTTCCCCGTTGCTCAGCCACCTGGAGGAGGAGGAGGAGGAGGAGGAGGAGGAGGAGGAGGAGGAGGAGGAGGAGGAGGAAGGTGCCGCAGGCGCGGTGGTCGGCATGATCACTGCCATCGTCGTGCTCCTCCTGCCTCCGCGTGATGCGACATTTCTCGTTTGCCAGTTCACAGCCCTGTCTGGTATCTCCTTCGGCGGGGCCATTCTGTCAGTGCTGCTTCATGTCCGGCGCCTGCCTGTGGGCTCGTGGAGGGCTGTGAAGATGGCGTGTGGCAGCCGTCTTCCTGAGCTGTAGCGTGAACCTGGCTCGGGGAACCAGTGGCAGGGCAGTTGCGCGGCAACGCTCAACGGAGCGCGCCCACGAAGCTCCGTAAGTGCCCCCCGCCACCGTGCCTAGTTCGTGGGTCAGAGGCTTGTTGGACACATCGTATTCTCTCGGAATGCCCTTCGGGGGCGTTTCGGAGACTTAGGATGTCACATGTGATGCGAGCGTCTACATTCCTGGATCCGATTCCTTCCTCGTCGTTGCCGTCCTCCTCAGTTCCCCTCCTCTGCCTTCCCCTGCTCCTCCTCCTCCTCCTCCTCCTCCTCCTCCTCCTCCTCCTCCTGGTCCTTCTGCAACTCCACCTTCATCTGACTCCTCCTCCTCCTCCTCCTACTCCTCCTACTCGTCCTCCTCCTCCTCCTCCTCCTCCTCCTCCTCCTCCTCCAATTTTCAAGAGCCCAAATGCACAGTAACCGACGAGTGAAATCCTGCAACTAACATTTGAGGATCAAGGTCCTGTATGACACTCCAGTCGGCGGACAGAAGAGGCGCCAGCGCAAGGGGAACGGGTGGGTGAACTGATAGGTTGGATGGGTCAGATGTCAGATGTGCCGTGAGCGCGTTTAGCTTGCCCATGCCACCTCTCCCCTCTTACCTCCGACTCGTCCATACAGTTGCGGTCAAAGATACTAATAAGGATACTTCCCAATGGCATCCTTTCATTCCTGCATCTTCGGCACATGGTTTGCCATTGTCGCTGGCCATTTTGACTTTAAACGGCCTCAACTCGGGCGTCCAGTATCCTTACACATCCTTTCTTTGCATCCCTATCGTCTCGTCGCGCTGTCCACCATATGAGTACTACTACTCTCCCTCCTCTCGCAACAGTGTCCAGCCAGGCGCCCGCCGTTCGCGCGCGCCGTGGTTGCACACCCTGGGCTTCGGACGCTCATATCTCATACGCTTTCAGTCGGAACGGCGCCCCCGCGCAGGGCACTCGCCCAAACGCGGCCCGCTCTCCTGGATCCGACTTCTTCCTCTTCGCTGCCGCCGCCTCCTCGCCCCTCCGCCTCCCACTGCTCTTGTTTCTCCTGCTCCTTCTCCTGCTCCTCCTCCTGTTTCGCCTGTTTCGAGGCGACCTCATGCCCCGTCTCTCGGGACGTGGCCACGGCCTCATGCTCCGCCTCCGCCTCCTCCTCCTCAAATTCCTCCTCAAATTCCTCCTCCTACTCCTCCTCCTCCTCCTCCTCCTCCTCCTCCTCCTGCCTCCTCTCCTCCTCCTCCCCCTCCTCTACCCCCTCCTCCTCCTCCTCCTCCTGCTCCTCCTCCTCCTCCTCCTCCTCCTCCTCCTTCTCTTCCTCTCCCGTCTTCCTCTTCCGCTGCGTTCGTCAGAATGCGTGGGGGCGTCGCCGTCGAAAGGCTTTCTGCAGCCCTCGCTGCCCCCCCATCTATCGCCCCCCCATGAATTCGCCGGCGCATAGCATGGAACTCGGAGCCTGGGCTCAAGGGACGGGGGTCAATGCAAACGAGGGTCAGTCAGAGCGCCGGATCTGGCAGGATCCCGCAGAGCCAGGGCTGCATTGACCCGGGCTTGGGCGCAGGATCCTGCAGGATCCTCAAGGATCCTGCAAAGCCCGACTGACGCGAACTAGGAACGTTGTGGGTCGTCACGACGCAAACTCGCCGCGCGCTGCCTTCCCACTGCTGGGTAGCCAGGGCTCGTGCCGCCCGCTCCCCTCATCGGCGGAGGGACCCCACGAGAGGCGTGCATCCCCGCCGCCTCGCTGTCGCACCTCTGCATCAACTTCCCGGAGCCGCCGCAGGAAGGGGGGTCTGGGTCCGCTGCCACCAATTGGGGGGGGGCTCCAAGTTCGCGGGCCTTCGACGCTGAATCCCAGCGTTTTTTGCCAACCGTTTCGGCCTCCTGGGGTCAGGCTCGGGCCCCGCGACCATCAGTGCACAGATCCAGGACCACAGGCTGGCCCAGAAGGGACCGTTATGTCTTGTGGCCCGCGGGCTGAAAGGAGGAGCGCCTCGTCGGATGTCCGGGTCTTCTGCCTCGGGAGGTGTCCGTAGACCCTCCCATGGACGCGTCTGGAGTCTCTCCCGGACCTTCGCCCGTGCCCGCCCTGCAGCGGCTGCTGCGCCCGCTGCCGTCGCTGCCGTTCTGCCGCCGCCGCTGCCGGTGGGGCTGGGCGCCGCCGCCACCGTCGCATCGCACGCCCGCAGGCTCCGCTTCTCTTCTCGGGGGGTGGAAGGATGTACCGATACTGCTACCCTTCGTCGTCGCCATGGCTGGATTCGCATCGAATTTTTGGCCAGGACGTACCCCAGAACATGTCTGCGGAGTAGCAGCGTCGGGACCTTTCTGTCCTCCTGTCTTCTACGAGGTGACTGGAGGTACCCAGCGCCGAAGGAAGTGCCCTGACGAGTCTTCTGCTACTTCTCGTGCTTTTGCTGCTCATCCCCATACGTCTCTCCCTCCTCCTCCACCTCTTCCTCCTCCACCACCGCTTCTTCCACCTCCTCCCCCTTCTTCTTCGGCATGCCATCGGAATTAGCCCGTAGCGTCAGAGGGCACGCAATCGAAATGAGTCCGTGGCGTCGCTTCAATTTCCCGCATTACTGCCGCATGCTGCTCTTCCCTATTCCTTCTCCTTTTCTCGTCCTCGTCCTCGTCCTCCTCCTCCTCCTCCTCCTCCTCCTCCTCCTCCTCCTCCTCCTCCTCCTCCTCTTCCTTTCATGTCCCGTATGAACAATTCCTCCCTGTCGCACCCCGAGGCAAGTCGAAAGGGCGGGCGAGCGTTTCGCCTGAGACTGCCTCACCATTTTTGATCCTGAAGTTTGAATTTGCAACGGTTTTATGGATTGAGGGCAGGTCGTTTTTAAAATGTGGTTCTCGCTTGAGCGCCGCGCACATTCGTTTTGAACGTGTGCAAGAGCTTCATGGATGGAGGGCGGGCCGTTTTCAAAATGCGGCTCTCGCCTTAGCGCCGCGCGCGCATCCGCTTTGAACAAGTGCATGAGTTTCACGGATGGAGGGCAGGTTTTGGCTCTCGGAAATTTTTGGGATCAAGGCGCACAGGGCGCACTCGGGCTTTCTCCTTCTATTTTGCCAGCCGCACGTGCACAGTCGGATGCCTCCCTGCCAGATCTGCTTGAGCCATGGGTTGGCAGGCGAGACGGCCCTGGGCTTGACCTCTGCGCTGCGCACGGGGCTGTGGAGCTGAACGTGCCCGCTGCTGCGCAGCCGGCTGAGGGCACGGGCCTGACCCAGGCTGCCAGGAACCTCGAGATCGGCGTCTCCGACCACGTGGCCGACATAGAGGTTGATCAGGATGGTGCGTCCCCCGCTCCTGTTACAAATCCCCCCGGACTCGAACCACTGCCGTTCAAGGCTTCGCTGCTTCGGGGCTGGGTCGAGCAGGAGATGCTGTACAGCTTCGATTTGATCCAGCCGATCGCTGGTGCCTCCGTCAAGGCCCAGTCGCTCCCGGAGTTGCAGGCCATCCTCCTCAAAAAGGTCTACCACCCCGACGCCCAGGACACGTGGGAGCTCCCGAGGTTCGCCAAGCCGGAGGGCCCCAGTCCCACGGACGTGAATATCTTGGCTCGGGGCCGCGCTGCGTACGCACTCATCTCCCTTTCCTCGGCCTCCGACTGGCCACAGGACGATGCAGTGCAGGCCAGGGCCCTGCTGGGCTAGATCTCCGCCGCTGTGACGCGGTGCGAGGTGGAGCTTCCGCAGGTGCTCAAGGAACGCCGCCGCGTCAGGCCTGACTGGCTGTTGCTGTTCAATGCGCTGGGGAAGGGGGCGCTGGCGGCCATCGAGGACCGCGTGCGGACCCCGCACGTTGAGATCTGCACGCAGAGGTCCGACGTGTTGCTCGTTGGCGACCCTGCTGCGCGGCCTCCAACGGAGGCCTGCGCGTTGTCGGTCAAAGCGGAAAAGGGCAGCGAGACATTGTGGTGGGACAACCTATCGGGGAAGTCGGCGGTGCTCTGGGTACAACTCGCTGACCCGCCTCTTGACCGCCTTCCTGTGGCGCTCCGCCCCCGCCTCGCGCCCCGACAACCTCATCTTTGTTTCGGCCATCCCTATGACGATTGGCTTGAACAGCGTCTCCAACGTTACCGACATTTGCGAGTTCCCGCTCTTATTGACCGCGTGGCTCCCTATCATCGGCCTTCGCACTCATGCCTTTCCCATTCGAGGTGGTCTTGCCCACGATGTCTGGAATCTCCCGCGTTGGACGCCAGGGCTTGGCTTTGTTCTCCTTGCGGTTCGGCGGGCCCCGCACCGTCCGAAGGCTGATCAGCGTGGCCCCGTTCTTCCACCTGCCCGAGGCCATGGCTGAACATTCGATCTACGTGTGAATGGTCTCTCTCAGTTCCTGTCCTCGCGCTCCCTCCCACTCCTGTCCGGCGCGGTCCTTCGCGCCCGCCGCAAGAGCCCCCTGAGTTCCGAGGAGACGCCTCGCATTTCGCTGGACCTGGTCTTCCCGAGCCAACTCGCGCACCTCGACCTCGTCACTGCGCTCGGCGAACTGCGCTCGGCGAGCTGCGCCATGCGCATCTTCCGGGTTCACCCTCTTCGGCCTCAGAGGGTGGGCAGCCGTCTCCGACGCCTTCCTCCTCGAGTGTAGCGGGCCAGGATTTTTCCACAACGATTGGCCCTTATGGCTGCAGGTGTTCATCCTGGGTCCGGCAAGATTCCTGCTGGTGTCTGACGCCTCGGCTGACTGGACGGCTACCATGGACAATGTCTGGTTGCAGGACGCCGCCAACGCCGCGACGCGGTTCCTTGGTCGAGTCGTCGCCGCTCCTGCTGCTGCTGCGGCCCCCCGCGCTGCTGACGCCACGTGCCGCTCGGGCAGGTCCCGCTCCGTCTCGGACTACCTCGCCGAGGTCAGAGTGCAGGGCCAAGTCGGGCTCCAGGACAGCGAGATGCTGAACATGCTGATGCAGCACGCGGTCGCGACGACTTGGCTCCCATTGTCCGTCGCCTACGACCCTGGCGACCTCAAGGCTGGGGAATGCGTCCCGGTGGGCCGCGGCCGTGTGCCCGCCGCTGGCGGGGTCATCTAGGTGAGGGACAATAGCAAGGCTGACGTTCACGCCCTCCACGCCGGCAGGTACATGGACCTGGACATCGCTCCGGGAAACATCCCAGGGGCAACGGCATAGGTGGCCCCCTGTGCACGCGCCGCCGACGGGCGCTGCTCGTTGGGTTCGAGGTCCGGAGTTGACCTCGGGATCTATTGCGTTGACGAGTGGGGCTGCTCGGGCTTCGCCGTCTTCGCCGTCTTCCGCGCCCGCGTGGGCGGCTCCGCGAACGCCGCGCCGTCGTGGTCAGGCCGCCGGCCGCCGGAGCCCATCGGCCTGGGCTCTGCCCGGGGTCCCTCGGAGTTTTCTCCTGCCTGTCTGCTCTCTGCGCCTCCACGGTGCCCTTGTGCTTCACCATGCCCTACGCCTGTCTTTTGCATGCTGCTCCTCGGCTATCCTGCGCCGACGAGGGCCTCCCAGCGCAGACGTTTGACCGCGCCACTCTCGACCTCCCGGTTCACATTTACCGCCGCCCCAGGCCACTTCGGGTTATTGGAGCCGCGCCCGCTGACCGGCTTCCCCCGCCGCCTCTGACGCGCTTTTCGGCGCCCGCCTCCCTCGCGGCAAGTCGCCGTGGCCAGTGCGTTTTTTTTCTTTTGGTTTGATGTGACATGGAAATCCTGGGCGCTCTTTGCCGCGGCGCCCGTCGGTTCGAGGCCGAGGGTTCCTGCGTCAACAAGACTATGTTGGAATCTGACATCTGCTGGGTCACCGAGGCGCGCGGCTCCGAGACGAACAATTCTGGCGGAAGTTACGCGGATGCGTGGGGAAAGCGTATTTTGGGGCTCTTTTTCCTCCAACGCAGCTCGAGCAAAAGTGCTTGTGGGCGTGCTGCGAATTGATAGCGTCCGAATCTCTCAGGATCCCGAGCGCGCCGCCTGGCCCAGCGGGGGCGGGTGGTGAGCCCGCCCTCCTCGGACACCCCATCGGGTCACCAGTCCCTCCAGGGTCCTAGAAAGTGAAACTGAAAACCCGCAGTGCCTCGACGCGTAGTCGCGGAGGTCTAGACTCGCGCCCATGGCGCATCTAAACAGTGCACGGCTCAAGACCCTACTCGGGCCACGCCCCTTGTTCTCGCGGTCCCAAAGGCTGGAAACGAGGGCTGGTCGTCCACCAGGTGTGCATGACCTTGCTCTGGGTGGCAGCCGTCCTTCTGCGGTCGCCCTTCCTAGTCTTGAGCTTCACTGCTGGCTCGCTCGATTTCTCGATCGGAGCATGCTGTGGCCCCCCGCCGTCGCCGCCGCGCGGCAGGGCCCCTGCGTGGCACCAACTCGGCCTCACACGCGCACAAAACCAGCAAAACAGGGAAAACCCTAGCAAAGCAAGCAGAAACCCTAGGCTCACGCCTGCCATCAGCACGGTCAGGCTCACGTAGTAACCCTCACTCGTGAGGGACTCCTGGCATGGCCACCGAAGTCAACGCACTCCCATCCACCTCCTGCGGTGCCTCGCACAGCTCGGTCGAGCTCCCCTTCACCGCGGCCACTGCAAGCAACGCAATACGCAGGGTTGACTGGGCCTGGAAGTCGGTCGGCATGGCCTCGATTCCAGCTACCCTCGAGGTCCCTGGCACGGGCACCTCCTACAGTCCGCAGCTCTCGCGGAGCCACTCGAGGCGCGTCCTCGGCAACGCATTTGCGCCGAGATCCGCCAGGTTGTCGTCGCCAGCTACGGGCTCGATGATGATGATGATCTTCTTGACCACCAGCTGCTGGATCCAGAGCGTCTTGGTGGCAAGGTGCTTGATCCGCCCAGTCCCCGGACGCCTATCCAGCGCTCTCGCACTCGACCTGTCGCATCGTCAGCTCATGCGCACGCTGTAGCCCATGAACGTGAAGAGCGCCTTCAGCCCAAGTCCTCCGCTAAGACCTCGAGCTTCAGCGTGCCACTCGGCTTCGCAGCCCCCGAGGGACTGCGCGTCTTGGCGACAGGTGATCCCGAGCATTGGACACCCGCGCGCAGGGATGTGCACGCTGGTCTGGCTCTCCCGCCCCTTCGTGTCGCCTGCCCAGTCGGAGTCTGTCCACGCGACCAGGTGGGCGATGTCCCGCGGCGTGGTGGGCTTGGCCATCCTCGCGCCCAGGCCCCTCGTGCCCTTCAGGTACCTTGCCAGCCTTTTGAGGGCTCGCATGTCCGCCTCACGGGGCGGTGGGATGCACGAGGTCAGGTAGTTGATGTCGAACTGGGCATATTCGCGGTCATGTAGGTAGAAACAGCAGGCAGATGGTCACGCTCCTGAACAGCTTAGCCTCGTCTGGGCTGAGGTCGGCCGCGCCATCCCCGCCTGTCCTGCGTGCCTCCACCCCTGGGGTGGCGCGCGGGTTGCCCTCTTCAGGGCCTAGCGCCCCCGGCGCCGTCGCGAGGTACTTCTCGTTGGGCTGAATGTAGGTAGCGTCGGCCTCTCGCACGCGCCGCCTCTTGAGAAACACGCAGTCGGCGCCGTCGCCCTGTAGGCCTGGCCACTTCACCTTGATGTCGCGGCCCAGGTCCAGCACGAAGTCGGACCCTACGACTCCAGGCGCCGCGCCGTGCATGTCGGCCATGCGTAGCTCCACCAGACAAGAGCGCTCGGCGCGCCAGAAGAACTGGGGCGCGGTCGGTGACCGCTCGAAGCCTCTGGTCATGAGCTGCTCCGCGGCGAACCCGACCCTGCGCTTCCCTCCAGCGTGCCGCCCTGGCAACTGCTTCGCGAGCTGCCAAACGTAGTCCTCAGTGTCGCCCCTCGCGCGGCGCTCTTCCAGGATCTCAGGTGGGCACTCGACCCGCGCGCCCTCCTCCTCGGGGACGTGGTAGTACGCGTCCTCCGCGTCAACAGTGAAGGTGGGCCATCCGTGCTGCAGAGCAACGTAGTCCACAACTCGGCTGTCGGCCATGCTGCTCCCTGGGGTGAAGAGGTCGTCGCGGCACTCCTGTCACTTGAACTCTCGCGCGACGTACCTTGATTTAGCGATCCTGCATCCGAGGTTAGCGTCCCGCTTTTACACGTGGCCCCAGCGGGCGCTGGCCCTCTTGCCGGCGGCCTCGCTCCGCTTGACGAGCTTGCCCACCCCGTGCGCTGCTTCGGGCCGTCGAGGGCCCGTTTGGTGGAAGCCTCGATCAATTGCGAGTCCGACGCATCGTGGGGATTAGAGACATCAATGCCCCTGAGGTCAGCAGGAAGTCTGGACGAACGTCATCGCAGCGTTCCGCTGCTACTCCGCTAACTCGGGACCTCGCAAGAGTGCCTCGGTTGCCACCCTCCTCCGCGGGTCGCTTCGGCGATCGACCTATCGGGGGCGTCAGCGGGGGTGCCCTCGCTGGTGCTGCGGCCCTCGGCGTCATGGAGGTGTCGTCCCCAGCGCCGCCTCCAGCCGACGTCTGTGCCGCTGGCTCCACCTGCCTGTCCCCGGCAGGTGCCTCGTCGCCGCCCGCCGCTTCGGCCGCGGGCGCCGCCATGGGGTGCTGGCCCGCCGCCATGGGCGGCCCCAGTGGTCTGGGCAGCAGCGTTCGGGTCTGGCTGTGCCTCAGCTGCCTCTCGCGCCGCCAGGTCGGCGTCCGCAGCGGCAGGGGGCGTTGCGATCGGCTCGATCCCACGCGGGACAGTGCCCTGCCCTCGGCGCTTCCACGGCATGTGCGTGATCGCCGCCACGGCGGTGCGGTTGAAACTCCGCTCTTCGGGCAGACTCTTGACGGTCCTCGTCGCGACTAGCTCGCCCGTCTCGAGGGCGCATATGTGCTCGTCGGTGTCGTAGCTCTTCCCTGGCCAGACTGCCCTCGCGAAGCCCATGCCACCCTTGTGGTGCACCTTGCCTCTTGCCCTGCAGTCCTTGCCTCTGGGCAGGCGCGCCAGGACTGACTCCCCTGGGGTGGCCATCTCCCTGGTGTCGGCGTGGCCGTAGAGGTCTTCATGTGCCGTGCGACCGATCGCCTTGATCTTCAGGTTGGTGCATGCCCAGCCCGAGTGGCGTTGCAACCACTTGTACATGGCGGTGCCTGGTCGGACCCTGGCTCCTAGTCGTGCCTCCAGCGCGCTCCTGCTCGCGCGGAACTGCGCCAGGATAATGCCATTGGCATTCTCGGAGGGTTTCGACTGGGAGCTGAACGTAGATGCGGGTCTCACGACTACACGGTTGGGCAGCTCCGCCTCGACCTTGTTGGCCAGGTCCACATGACGTCCTCGTGGTCTGGCCTGAGGATGACCTTTTGATGGAAAAGCCTCTGGATGAACGCCCCCGTGGCTGCCGCCGCGTAGGGGTCAGCACGTCGGTCGGATTTCGGGGCGCTGCGCATGGCGCCTGCGTCGGCATCCCCGACCACCAGCGCCACTTCCTCGCCCTGTCTCTGGCCATCCTCTGCGCGGGGTGGCCGCCTCCACGGCGTCGGCCGCCTCGCCCTTGAAGAATGCCAGGCCAAGCCCGGTCACGGGGAGGCGCTCCACTTCCGCGCCTAGCAACTCGCGGGGTCTGGCACGACCACGCCCCATCTGACAGTGCTCACACCAGCGCCGCGGTGGGCAGAGCAGGTTCTCCTCGTGGCGCTGTCTCTCCTCTGGCGTTGGCTCGCGGACGTCGGGGAACGTGTCCGGTTCCACCGCCTGTCCCGACCCCGCCTGACGCCTCATCTCCTCGCGCCTCAGCTCGCGGAAATCATCCGTCGCCGCCCTCGCCTTGCGCCTGCCCTCGTACTCGACGAGCCGTGCCCAGCACTGAGCCTTGGTCCCGTAGTGTGGGGCGTAGATCTCCTTGAGGCGCTTCTGCATGGCGTCGAACCTCGAGCTTCGTTAATCCCCTCGAGGTGCGACCGCCCCGACGGCTGTGCCGCCGCAGGTGCCTCCTGGCCCTGCGCGGGCGCCGCCGCCTCCTGCGCCTGTGGTGGCGCCGCCGCCGCCTGTGCCTGTGGTGCCGCGGCTCCTGCCCCTGGTGGTGCTGAGTCACGCGACCCCCGAGCCTCTGGGCGCGGCGGAGGATCTTCTCCTCGCGCCGTCCCCCACGGAGCTTCTGTGGCACCAGCTGCGGCGACCCTGGCGGGGCAGGCAGCGAGCTTGGCCTCGTCCATCGCGTCGTGGATCTGCGCAGCGAAGTAGAACGTATTGCCGACTTGCTTCATGTCCGCCCGCTCGCCCGTCTTGAGGTTCGCTGCGTGCGGGTCGTTCTCATCTAGGACAAACCTGAATTGCTTGCGCGCCAGCTTCCCGAGGCTGAGCACCGCGTCCTGAGGGGCGAGGTCGTTGCTCACTCTGAGGTTCCCCAAGCATGGCTGGCGACCCTTCTCGCCACCGACGACCAATCGATCCGATCTCCATCGGCGCCACGCCTTGATCCACCGTGCCGCTGGCTGCGAAGACCTGTCCCGACGCCATCCACTCTCTCAGGTGGGTCCTCAGCGCCATGTGCGAGACCTTGGCAGCCGTCGGAGCATTGCGTAGCACGGTCTTGCACGGCTCGGGGCTATGGACGAGCAGCGTGGCGATGCGAAACTTATCGCCGAAGTCCTTCCCCGCCTGCATGACGTACCTTGCCGCGTCGTTGTCCCAGTCAACGAGCTGGTCAGCGAACGGCTTCTGGTCGTCCCAACTGGGGTTGAGCAGGCCGCTGAGCATGGCCGCGAACCTGTTGCCCACCCCAGGCTCGTACTCTTTCTTGATCGCCCGCCAGGCAACGAAACCCTCGTGCCTGCCTGCGAGCGTAACCATCGCCAGCGCCTTGCGCTGGGTCTTGGCGATCAGCATGGCATGCAGCAGCTTGCTCGTCGCTGCCGCGCGCTCGCCCATGCTGACGTTGTCCACCGCAGGCGCCGGCTGGTCCCCAACGTCGTCGATGAGGTCGCCCCAGCCCATCAGCGCGAAGAACGCGTGGGCCTGGATGGACCAGCTGGGCCAGACCTCATGTCTACCACTGAACTCTGGCAGCTTGATGTCGCCTCTGCAATCCACCAGCTGCTCTCTGGGCGCCGCTGCCATGGGCAGCGCGCGTCCGCAGTCTTCCCGTGGATCTGATCTGCGCAGTTCACCGCAGAACCACGCTCACCTCTACCATGGCGGTAGTTACGCGGATGCGTGGGGAAAGCGTATCTAGGGTTTTTTGCCTCCCACGCAGCTTGAACAAAAGGGCCTGCGGGTATGCTACGAATTGATGGCGTCCGCATCGCTCAAGGCCCCGAGTAAATTCCACTTGGCGCGCCCCGCCTGACGCGACAGCACGGTGTCAGAAGGAGCCTCACAAGGAGAGGCCAGGACTGGGGCAGCTGTCCGACGCTCATTTCTGCGACAGTTCACGGAGCAGCCTTGCTGGATCCATATTTGGAGAGGCCTCGCTGCGAAATTATGCTGGTGCAGCTCTCTCGGCGCGCCGGGCGTCGTCGTCGTCTTCGCGCGCGCGGGCTGCCATCGCGCCCCTGCAGATGGAGATCTCCATGGGTTCCCGCCTTCCAGGACCCGCGATGCATTCCTAATTGGATCTTCGTTCTTTGCTTCGCTCCAGAAGCAGAGATTCCCGAGCTCCGGCGGAGGGCTGCCTCGCCACCTTGGCGGGGGATTTCGCATGGGTCACGGCCGACATGGGCAGGGTTGGCCTGGCCACCGTGGCGCCTTCCGGCACGCGGGGCGCCCGCGACGAGAACCGCGCCGCGGCTGTAGTTGGAGATGGGTTTGGGCTCGCCAAGACGCATCAGTCTGAGCGCGCGAGCGCGTCTTCCTCTGCCCGGTCTCGGCTCGACCGCGTCTGCGTCAGTCGCCACCTAGTCCGATCATTCAGACAGGCACGCGCGCTGCTCAGCAGTCGAAGGGCGCCGCGATTTGCCCCGTCATCGAGCTGTCTTCTTCGCCGGGTGTTTTCCGCTACGCGGCGGTGATGGCGTTCGGCCGCTCGCTGCGTCGGCTTTGGCAGCGACGGCGTTTTTCCCGCCGTAGCGCTCGAGTGCTACCCGACGCCCTACCCGACGCCCTGCCCGACGCCTTTCTAGACGGCCTTCCCCCCGGCTTTCCCGACGTCCCACCCGAAGGCCTTCCCCGCGGCCTTCCCGACGCCCGACCCGACGTCCTACCCGACGCCATACCCGACGCCCTACCCGACGGCTTCCCAACGGCCTTCCCCACGGCCTCCCCGACGCCCTTCCCGACGGCTTTCCCGACGCCCTCCCTTCCCGACGCCCTACCCGACGGCCTTCCCCACGGCTTTCCCGATGCCCTACCCGGCGGCCTTCCCGACGGCGCTTCCGACGCCCAGCCCGACGCTCAGCCCGACATTTCTTCCAGGCTGGCCGACGCCACATCCGACGTTTCTTCCTGCAGCTGCCATGGCTGGATCCATGAGCGGCGCCGGCGCGGCTGCCGCTGGCGACCCCCGTCTTCAAAACGCAGGCAAGCATGTTCTGATAAACGTTCCTCGTGGAATGGGCGCTGAGGACGCATTGTTTCGCGCGCAGGCCGATGCGCGCCAGTTGGGTGGATCCTGCGCGGATATGTATTTCCAGGAAGTGGACGTCACAGGGTCACAGGGTCTTGGGCAGAGGCAAATCAAGCTGGAGGCTATCATTACAGCGTGTCGCAGCCTGAGAACAAGGCTACGTAATGGCTCGCTGTGGGGCTATGATTCCGCACAGTTGAACTGAAAGTCGTTCATGGACGTACAGAGAGCGGCCGCCTGTATCTTAATTTGCACGTGGAGCATTTTCGGCGCGCAGGGTTTGCCGTCAGAGGTTTGTCGGGGGAAGACGACCGCAAGGACGTAATGATTTCCCCAGCGGCTTGTGCCAAGCATACGGCTCTGGCGAATGGGAAAACGAGCGACCGTGTTCTGGCTTATGCGCCGACAGTCGCAATGGCAGCTTTCGAGTGATGCCCAGAGCCACAGCTGGGGTGATGAACGCATGCGGAGCAACGATGTTTTTTGTGATGTTGTATTGACCTCGAAACCTTTGCTGTTGCTGCGTCGGCTATCTCTTCATGCGCAGCATTGCAGCGTTCTTTCATGGGTCTGTGGTCCTTGGGATCATGCTTCCAACATTGGTACGCTGACACCGGTAAGGGTGTCCCCCGTATTGTGATGCCCTGCGTATGAGGGGTAGGTGCCAGTTGCTGATATATCGGCAATTTACCGCCGATTCCAAGTCGACCTTTCCCCCCCTCCCTGAGCTGGTCCCCTCCTGTCGGTCCCCCTTCAGTCTTGGGGGGGGTGGAGGGGTGATGGCGATGGGGTGATGTCGGCTACACGTGAGAGCGGCCCTTCGTTTTGGGTCTACGATTCGGAAAATTTGAGCTGAAACTCGTTCATGGACGTGCGGAGAATGGCCTCCTGTATCTTAATGTGTACGAGAAACATTTGCGGCACGCAGGGTTTGCCATCGGAGGTCTGCTGGGGGAAGACGACCACAAGGACGTAATGATTCCCCCAGCGGCTTGCACCAAGCATACGGCTCTGGCTGAGGGGAAAACGAGCGACCGTCCTTTCGCCTCCTTGCCGACAGTCGCAATTGTAACTTTCGAGTGATGCCCAGAGCCACAGCTGGGAAGATGAAAACATGCGGAGGAACGATGCTTTTGTGATGTTGTATTGACCTCGAAAACTTTGTTGCTGCTGCGTCGGGTATTCTTTCATGCGCAGCATTGCAGCGTTATCTTATGGGTCTGTCGTCCTTGGGATCATGCTTACAACATTGGTACGCTGACACCGGTAAGGGTGTCCCGCGTATTCCGCGTATTGTGATGCCCCGCGTATAAGGGGGTTAGGTGCCAATCGCCGATACATCGGCGATTTATCGCCGATTCCAGGTCGAGGTTTCCCCCCCCTGAGCTGGTCCCGCCTGTCGGTCCCCTCAGTCTTGGGGGGGTGGATGGGGCGATGGCGAGCTGGCGATGGGGGAATGTTGGCTACACATGAGAGGGGCCCAAACCCAAAGCACGCAGGCCGCCACAGGTCGCATCGCATGCCACGATCGGCAGGCCGCGTACCACAGATCACTCCTGCCTAGGGTCACTCTCACTGGACCCACTCGTTTTTGCCCCCCCCCCCCCCCCAAACACCTGGAAACCCGCCCTTCTCTCGATGGTCAACCTCCCTGCCTTGGCCCTCGGGGCCTGGGCGGCCTGTGCGAGGGCAGGTGCTGCTATGATCGTTGGGCGAGGCCCTGGAGGGGATGGAGGAGGACCGGGAGTGGCGGAATGCTGGAGTCAAGGTCTGTCCGAGAGGTCGTTGTGCGCTAGCTTCGCGAGATTTCACCAACGCCTTTCAGATCGTACTGCTGTGTGTGTGTGTGTGTGTTTGGGCCAAGGGGCCCGATAGCCCGCCCCGTCCGGGAACGTGCGGATTTGCCATCGGGGGCCTCAGCCGGCCCCAGACACTCCCAAGACGGCCCACGAGAACTCCGGACACGGTCCGAGCCAGCCCCGATATGGCCCAAGAGGTCCCCCAACGCCCCGGCAGGGCCTCAAGAGGGCCCCCCAGACGGGCCAAGAGGGCCTGTGGACCGCTCAAACAGGGACGCCCCAAGAGGTGCCCAAGAGAACCCTCAGCCTGGCCCAGTACGGTCCAAGAAGATCCGCAGATGGCCCAAATGCGACCCCAAGACGGCTTCAAGGGACCCCACAGACGGCTCGACACCGAAGAGGCCCTTGAGACGGACCCCACAGCCGCCCAAGTTTCGTTTTCATTGCTTTCTTCAAGCCTTCCAGGAATACCGCAGTTTCGGGATTCCGGGCGTCCACGCGGCTCCAACAAGCGCCACACAGTGAACATGCCCTTGACATCTCCGACAACGTTCGGTTTCGACTGCGCGACCCCCAGAGCTCTCTCCCGCTGACCCATCATTTCCGCGGGTGCGCGCATCACGCATACACCTTTCGTGCAAGTGTTACGATGCACATCATGATGCATATCTACACGGGGCTCATCGGTGTTGCATCGGCCCTGGGCTCGCTTGAGCGCAGCCACGCCGACGTCCTCTTGATGCAGCAGCGTCTCAGGAAGGAAGACCCTGATCCCGTGCAGAGTGAGCCTTTCCCACTGCCTCCCGTCGTCTTCGAGGAAACGGACGACGGCGCGGGTAAGCTGCACGTCGTGGTCGAATTCGAAGAGAATAGCACAGCACAGTCACGCCAGGCGCAAAACCCATACACCGTGTATGGTACCTCAGGCCACTGCTCGGTTTGCGGCAGATCAGGGTACAATTGCCTCGGCCAAGGCGGAAGCTACGATGTGGCGTGGGCCAATGTGAATTTTGGTGGCGTCAACTTGGGCACGGTCACCAAGTGGACAGTAACGGCATACGGAGCTAAGTGCAGCACTGGGACTCTGTCAATGACGTTGTCAGGCACGACCGCCTCAGGAAATTGCGGTTCGCCAACGGACTGCAGTTGCAGCGCGTGCCTCGCGTGCACCGCCTCGAGCGCAACTTACCCGAGTGGCATCTCGAACTGGAATTGGGGTAGCAACTCCATCAGTCCCAGTTATTCCGCGAGCACGTACTGTACTTCCAGGTTGGAGATCGACATTGAGTACACGCAGATGAGCCCCAACCCGACGCCCTACCCGACGCCCTACCCGACGGCCTTCCCGACGGCCTTCCCGACGCCATACCCGACGCCCTACCCGACGCCCTACCCGACGGCCTTCCCGACGGCCTTCCCGACGCCATACCCGACGCCATACCCGACGCCGTACCCGACGCCTTACCCGACGGCCTTCCCGACGGCCTTCCCGACGCCATACCCGACGCCCTACCCGACGCCATACCCGACGCCGTACCCGACGCCTACCCGACGGCCTTCCCGACGGCCTTCCCCACGGCTTTCCCGACGCCCTACCCGACGCCCTACCCGACGCCCTACCCGACGGCCTTCCCGACGGCCTTCCCGACGCCATACCCGACGCCCTACCCGACCGCTTACCCGACAGCTTACCCGACGGCTTTCCCGACGGCCTTCCCGACGGCCTTCCCGACGCCCTACCCGACGCCCTACCCGACCGCTTACCCGACGGCTTTCCCGACGGCTTTCCCGACGGCCTTCCCAACGGCCTTCCCGACGCCCTACCCGACGGCCTTCCCGACGGCGTTCCCAACGCCCAGCCCGACGCCCAGCCCGACGTATCCTGCGGGTTGGCCGACGCCACATCCGACGTTTCCTCCTGCAGCGGCCATGGCCGGAGCCATGGGCGGCGCCGGCGTGGCTGCCACTGGCGGACGACATGCCTGACGTTCCCATACGCACGCAGACGACGCCGTACCCGACGCCCTACCCGACCCGACGGCCTTCCGCGCCTACGACGCCCTTTCCCGACGCCGCCCTACCCGACGCCCTTACCCGACGCCCCCTACCCGACGCCGTACCCGACGCCGACGCCCTACCCGACGCCCTACCCGACGCCTACCCCTTTCCCCCCCCTGACCCGGCCCTTCCCGACGGCCTTCCCGACGCCATACCCGACGCCCTACCCGACCGCTTACCCGACAGCTTACCCGACGGCTTTCCCGACGGCCTTCCCGACGGCCTTCCCGACGCCCTACCCGACGCCCTACCCGACCGCTTACCCGACGGCTTTCCCGACGGCTTTCCCGACGGCCTTCCCAACGGCCTTCCCGACGCCCTACCCGACGGCCTTCCCGACGGCGTTCCCAACGCCCAGCCCGACGCCCAGCCCGACGTATCCTGCGGGTTGGCCGACGCCACATCCGACGTTTCCTCCTGCAGCGGCCATGGCCGGAGCCATGGGCGGCGCCGGCGTGGCTGCCACTGGCGACCCCCATCTTCAAAACGTTCATGGCGAGCGGTTCGATTTGATGAAGCCAGGCAAGCATGTTCTGATAAACGTTCCTCGTGGAATGGACGCTGAGAACGCATTGCTTCGCGTGCAGGCCGATGCGCGCCGGTTGGGTGGATCATGCGCGGATCTGTATTTCCAAGAGGTGAACGTCACAGGGTCTTGGGCAGAGGCAAACCAAGCTGGAGGCTATCATTACAGCGCGTCGCAACCTGATATCAAAGCTACAGGATGGCTCGCTTTGGGGCTAGGATTCCGAAAAGTTGAAATGAAAGTCGTTCATGGACGTACGGAGAATGGCCTCCTGTATCTTAATTTGTACGTGAAGCATTTACAGCACGCAGGGTTTGCCGTCGGAGGTCTGCTGGGGGAAGACGACCACAAGGACGTAATGACTCCCCCAGCGGCTTGTACCAAGCATACGGCTCTGACTAGGGGAAAAACGAGCGACCGTGCTCTGGCCTCCGTGCCGACACTCGCAATTGCAACTTTTGAGTGATGCCCAGAGCTACAGCTGGGAAGATGAACACATGCGGAGGAACGATGTTTTTGTGATTTGTATTGACCTCAAAACATTTGCTGTTGCTGCGTCGGGTATTCCTTCATGCGCAGCATTGCATCGTTCTTTGATGGTTGTGTCGTCCTTGGGATCATGCTTCCAACATTGGTACGCTGACAACGGTACGGGTGTCCCGCGTATTGTGATGCCCCGCATATGAGGGGTAGGTGCCAGTCGCCGAAAAATCTGCGATTCACCGCCGATTCCAGGTCGACCTTTCCCCCCCCTGAGCCGGTCCCCCCTGTCGGTCCCCTCAGTCTTGGGGGGGGTGGAGGGGTGATGGCGATGGGGGGATGTCGACTACACGTGAGAGCGGCCCTTCGCCAGAGTGACCTTTGATGCGCAGCTTTCGGGAGGCACAGGGGCCCAAACCCAGAGCACGCAGGCCGCCTCTGGTCGCATCGCATGCCACGATCGGCAGGCCGCGTACCAAAGATCACTCCTGCCCAGGGTCACTCTCACTGGACCCACTCGTTTTCGTCCCCCCCCCGCAACCTCCCTGCCTTGGCCCTTGGAGCCTGGGCGGCCCGTGGGGTGATGGCAGGTGTTGCTGCCACGGTCGTCGGGCGGGGCCCTGGAGGGGATGCTGGAGTCAAGGTCTGTCCGAGAGGTCGTTGTGCGCTTGCTTCGCGAGCTTTCACCAACGCCTTTCAGATCGTACTGCCGTGTGCGTTTGGGCCAGGGGGCTCGATAGCCCGCCCCGTCCGGGAACGTGCGGATTTGCTATGGGGGGCCTCAGCCGGCCCCAGACGCTCCCAAGACGGCCCACGAGCTTTCTTGGTGCCCTCTGAGGGTGTCCGAGAGCTCCTGACACGGACCGAGCCAGCCCCGATATGGCCCAAGAGGCCCACCCAACGCCCCGGCAGGGCCTCAAGAGGGCCCCCAGACGGGCCAAGAGAGCCCGTGGACGGCTCCAACAGGGACGCCCCAAGAGGTGCCCAAGAGAACCCTCAGCCTGGCCCAGTACGGTCCAAGAAGATCCGCAGATGGCCCAAATGCGATCCCAAGACGGCTTCAAGGGACCCCACAGACGGCTCCACACCGAAGAGACCCCTGAGACGGACCCCACAGCATGCGTCCAAGAGGTTCCACCACGGCCCAAGTTTCGTTTTCATTGCGTTCTTCAAGCCTTTCAGGAATAACCGCAATTTCGGGATTCAGGGCGTCCTGGCGGCTCCAACAAGCGCCGCACAGTGAAAGCTTACCCTTGATACTGTCCTTGCTTGATAGCGTCCCTGCTTGACCGCGCCCTACCCGACGCCCTACCCGACGGCCCTACCCGACGGCCTTCCCGACGCCATACCCGACGCCCTACCCGACGCCCTACCCGACGCCCTACCCGACGGCCTTCCCCACGGCTTTCCCGACGCCCTACCCGACGCCCTACCCGACGCCCTACCCGACGGCCTTCCCGACGGCCTTCCCGACGCCATACCCGACGCCCTACCCGACGCCCTACCCGACGCCCTACCCGACGCCCTACCCGACGGCCTTCCCGACGGCCTTCCCCACGGCTTTCCCGACGCCCTACCCGACGCCC